AATAGCTAAAACATTTTTTCTGAGTTTCATCACTCAATGGGAAAGCAAACTCAAGTTTCGACTCTCACCGCGCTAGTTCAGTCGATCCTCCCGAACCAGGAATTCAAAATGATTTTATATTTTTTCATAGATATGGGAAATTTTTTTCTGCCTTGATAACAAGTCTCAATGTAATGCAAATTAAATTAAACACAAAATGGTTCATCTCATATACATAAATGTTGCATGGGAAATTTAGCGTTTATTAAATATAATCGCGAATAACACGATCGTTTCAAGGTATACCTCTTTTGTTGTAGTCGATTTGTAGAAGATTTTAAAATCAAATGCAGTTCAAAGTGTAAAATGTCGTGAAGCTTGAATTTAGTATTTTCTTCTTTGCAACCATCATTACACTGACAAAACACCAGCATTTATTACATCAAGCATTAATTGCCGCTGTAAGTTATGTTCAATTGAGATGTGCCGAATAGTGTTGGTGTAAGGCTTCGATTTGCCCATGTTGATCTGTCGCCGATTTTTTACCGCCCATCATGCTAATTACCGCATCATGCTAATTTTGACTAGAATTTTCACTGTTATTTGTGGATTTCGAACCTTCGACTTGCAGCTTTAATCTTATTGATCGTAATCATTAACCCACAGGAAAGCTTAATTTTTAATATATATATATAGAGCGCATTTGTTGTAACTGCACATACCTCCACATCTCCTTTATGTAATACTTCAATGGCAGTTTTTCCACCAAGTTTTTGCCTATAATGCAATGCGGCTGCTACTCCTGCCAGAACTCTAGGGCCGACTCTAGTGCAGCAGTTGCCAGCAATACCGTGTTTTTAATTGGGACGACAAATGCTAGTAATGCCGTGTTATTGCCGCGGCAGTTGCCAGTAATGTCATGTAGCCGCGGCAGTTGCCAGTAATGCCATGCAGCCGCGGCAGTTGCCAGTAATGTCATGTAGCCGCGGCAGTTGCCAGTAATGCCATGTAGCCGCGGCAGTTGCCAGTAATGTCATGTAGCCGCGGCAGTTGCCAGTAATGCCATGTTGCCGCAGCAGTTGCCAGTAATGCCATGTTGCCGCGGCAGTTGCCAGTAATGCCATGTTGCCGCGGCAGAATCTCTAGACTAGCCGTCTTGATTGCCGGACGATCCTTCATTACGGACCTGTGAGGTCGAGCTCAAGTCCGTCCCAGGCAGCGAGTGTCAAAAGTCTGGCACTAAAGTCGAGTCGATGTGTCGTTGCAAAAGTTTCTACCTTTACTGAACTCTTCTATAACGAAGAAAACTTTACTACGCTAGCTGCCGAATGGCGACCAAAATCTCTTCCGGGTTTCCAGCACCGGCTTCGTGCTTCTTGAGCTTCCGCGTGATTCAGAAAACACAGAGTTCGCTTCAAGAGAAAAAAGAGCCTTTAAAAAACGATCAAGTGTAGACGATAGATTATTGGACTGCAAATAAAACGAGACTATAATTAAAATGATGCGCTCAAAATTGAATGTGAATTTTCTCACAATTCATCCAAGCTTAAAACACACACAAATGTTAAATACATTAGACTTCTGTATTCTCTCTTGTCATGTATTTTCAATATCATGCCCACGTTTGTTCCGCGAGACGAAGTTGATCACTGAACTGAGGGTGGGCAGTCGAGGAGTCATGTGCCCCTATGGTACGATAGAATAAATAGTTCTACACGTCAGAGACGCTGTCAGCACACAAACTATACTTCGTCACGAGGTTAATCAACACGCGTAACTTCTTGGCTCTACACCACACGTTATTTATAAGCGCCCTCGGTCATCTTTAGCGTAGCCTACTTAAGCATTCAGAACAGCGACCTCTCTCAGTTACACCCATACGCTGATTTGAATTTAATTGAAGTGTTTCAGAAATTTGATCATTCGAATCACGTTGCGACGCAACCGTTGATTTGAGTATCAAGATGTGTTGAAATTATACGCTTATTTTTTGTGCTTCTTCCTTGGACGAGTTTATTGAGTGAATAACATGAGTTTCAGACTTCCATGACCTACACTGCTGAAGCAGTGTTTACGGTGTCGAGCCTGGCTATGAGAGTAATGCTACTCCACGACGAAATATGAGTTGATTGGGTGTTGAATGGACGACTCTGCCTAGAGTTACCTTCTCATCCTGGTTCACTTTGACCTGCCTGACCTGGTTCACTTTGAACCATGGACCCCTCTCTTTACATGATCGCGTGCTGCGCATAAAATAAAAAGAATTTCATTAGCAGAAGTCTATGGAGAACTGAGAGTAACAGATGACTTAATTCAAGCTCTGCGGTAAACTAGATTCACATCCTACTTCCATGCCATCAGTTCTCGGTGAAATATGCCAGGAGCTTCACAATTCTTCACAAAAAATACCAAGCCAATAAAGATTGTAGTGCGGAGCCCCGAGGATGTATCGACTGGCGGGCAATAAATTCTGCAATAGAATTTGGCTCAAACCAACAACATCTAGACTGGCTCAATGATCGCAGGTAGGCCTAGACTGGCTCAATGATCACAGGTAGGCCTAGACTGGCTCAATGATCGCAGGTAGGCCTAGACTGGCTCAATGATCACAGGTAGGCCTAGACTGGCTCAATGATCACAGGTAGGCCTAGACTGGCTCAATGATCACAGGTAGGCCTAGACTGGCTCAATGATCACAGGTAGGCCTAGACTGGCTCAATGATCGCAGGTAGGCCTAGACTGGCTCAATGATCACAGGTAGGCCTAGACTGGCTCAATGATCACAGATAGGACTGGCGGGAGGAATCGATCCGGCGTGAAAGTCGACAAGAAAATTAGCAGCAATTGCACGAAGGGCGCTTTATTTAAAAAAATGAATATCAAAATATTTACATCGAGATCTCACTATAAATACACAACGTGAGTCGTTGGTAAAGACACCATTCAATAACGTCGCGGAATCGTTTGAAATATTCTCTGACATATACTGTATATCTTTGAGATGCGTAGGTTAGCTGCTGTAAATAGTTGCGTGAACATGATTCTGAGACTTTGCTTTATGTTCGCAATACTTCCATTTATCGTTCCTGTAGAATGAGATGAAATATTCCTCGCATAAGCTTTTAGTACAGAAACTGGAGTTCAAATATTCCTGCAATTATAGTAACATTTCTCTGAGCTGAGCGTCTCGCTGCGTATGAGGAGGCGGGAGATCTTGATATTTTCTGGCACCAGAGCCAGCAGCGCATGTATAAAGGGATACATTTTCCTCTTAGTTAATATTATTATACTTTATTCCCCTAAAATACTTGGTGACAGAATACAATTAAATGATAACGCGCATCGTTAGTTCGTTAAATATCTGAAGCGACAGGCAAATTTTGATAATTAACAGCCTTTTGTCAGTCCTTTGGGTCTGAATTTTTTGTGTCACTGCCGACTAACGTTTTGAAATCTGAATTTTAATGAAAATTTTCGAAATTTCATCAAGATCTTTAAATACCCGTCACTCTAGAGCATTTCACGTCGACACAAAACCTTGATACGAGACATGCAGGAGTTGGCAGGGCGCTGCAGAGGCGCCACGTGATGCCATCGATGGCAGGTGTAGCGGTGTGTACAATGTACACGTCACCAGAGTATAAATAAATCGTGGTGTGACTCTGGCCAGACGAGACGCGTATATTGGTGCTAGATGTGTGACTTCTGGCCAGACACGTATGCAGGTGCTCGGTGTGTGACTCCTGGTCTGGACCTATACTTTGAAAAAAAATTAAGAGATCGTAAATTCATCAGCCAAGCATTGACGGCCTTTCAAGCAAAATCCACCAATCATAGACAAGAAAATAGAGCGTAAGTACTTACGTTCACTTAGCGAGTTTTGAAAGTATGGCCCCAGACACATATACGGGTGCTAGGTGTGTGACTCGGTTTTCACTTATAAAAGATCTAAGCCATTCTGTGAATGTTTTAAAACTTTAAAAATAAATCGTCATTTCAATTATTACTGAAAATGTACAGAAATAGGAAAAAATTAAAGTTTTATCATAACTTTTTCCATTTTAAACTTTTTCAAAGTCCTATTTCACCCTCGTGTGCATTCAGGTCACGAGGTCATTCAGTAATATGTCATCAGAATTGAAAAAAAATCGTACTAAAATGACAATTTATCGTGCACAAACTGTGTCAATTTTCAGAAATATTATTTGAGGAACATTGACGGTTAAATATAACAGTTCCCAAAATCTTCTATTTGTTCAATAAATTTTCATAAAATTGTCTGCTTTTCTTTTGATTATGAAAGAAAATTAGAGCAAGACGAACTGTTGCGACTCATCCGGCACAACGCGAGCGTGAATGGTTGTGTCACATACAATATGAATGATGAAGCACGAATGATTTTACTTAAAATAGCAAAAATGTCGTCGAAGGTCCAAGATTATGGAAATATTGATCTTTCATGTTACTTTAATAAGAAATATAAATTCAGTATTAGCGTACAGTACGTAGGAAAAAAGTAAATATTCGAACTTTGATTACAATCTAAATTTATTCTGTAATGCATAGCGATTATTGTCACGATGAAGTATGTGTCTTCAATGTTACGGTTTTCACAGTTTTTCTTGTTAAAAGAAGTAAATAATTCGTCATATTTTAGTCGGAAAAATACTTTGAAACAAATTCATTAGTTTCAGTGATGACCGAACATTCTGAAAATTGAATTATATTGGATTAAATTGATTTAAGTTTAAAAATTTGACATGGGTTGGCAGATGAGTATAACCAAAGTCAGAGTTATATATCAAAATACATGTGCAGTGCCTTATATGCTGAATACTATAATTAAAAATTTTCTACATAATATGTAGTAGGCTTCATAATATTTCTAGCTTTTTTTCGATCCAGATACAAAAAAATTAAAATGGGGCTTAAAACTTTGTTCAGAATCACACACAGATTCAATTATATAACTCTTCATGTAAAAATAACGTTTGCTAATTTACATCTTTTCCGCAGAGCAAGAGTGTTTTAAAATCGCAATATTTTCATGAATAGTGAATTCCCTCAACATAAATATTCGTTTTCTTAGAATTCAATGAATACAGAATCAGGCTTCGATGATTTGATAATAGTCAATTTTATTGTGCAATATTGCAGAATACTAGACAACAATAGAAGTTTAATCTATTAAGTGAGTGAGTGAGTGAATGAGCTATTTTTAATAAATAATCATAGATTAAGTTCATGATGAAAAATGTAACTAAGAATACAACTAAGGACTGTACAAATGTAGCTACGTAAATTTCGAACTTATGTGCAAAATTTCCCGCAATTGTTTCCAGTGAACTAAAGTAGCTAACAGATTTTCATCTCAGTGAGAAGATAATATAAATCGCAAAATAATTGGCCAGACTCTGCAACCCGAGTGGAAAAAGTGTTAAATTTATTTAAATAAAGACTGAAGAAGCTTTACGGTATCATGTTGGTGACGTCATCAGCTCTACCAGGCAACCGCATGCAGTACACGCGTCATGAGGTCGCTAGGAACTCGTCTACACGGTCCACCTCCAGCACAGGTCTGTACACAGCACAGGTCTGTACACAGCACAGGTCTGTACACAGCACAGGTCTGTACACAGCACAGGTCTGTACACAGCACAGGCCTGTACACAGCACCGGACGCTTGGTTAGCTGTGCAGTATACATGATATCCAGTATACATGCTATACAGTATACATTATACGTGCTATAGTGTATACATTCCATACATTATGCTTTCTATGCAGTATACGTGCTATAAAGTATACGTGCCAGACAGAAGAAATGCTATACATGTGTGATATATAACATGTATAAACCATAGAGGTGTATTATATACGTATAGTATAACTGAAAATTTTCCGTCTAACGCCGATGCAGTTTCTTGGTCGAGTATCGTCCTTCAATGTTGATGTATTATTTTCATTTAGCATCATCTTCCTATCACGGCGCATACCTACGTCTATTCTTATCGTCAAATGTGATTTATATTCTTCGTATAATATTTTTGTTTCAAGTCGTGTCTATCTGATTTATTTGTGTATTTTACACTTACTTCATTTCGTGTACTATCACCGTATGGTGTCAATATATTTCTCTGTCCAATCTCAAGTGTTTTTCTTCGTCTATTGTCACGGTCTTCTGTCGACGTATTTTCTGTCTAGTGTCGACGTATTTTTTGTCTAGTGTCGACGTATTTCCCTTCGCCTGATGTCACTATCTGGTTTCAATATATTTATCTGTCTAATGTCGACCTATTTCCCTTCGCCTAATGTCACCGTCTTCTGTCAATATTTTTTTCGCCATGTGCTCCATCAGTCCAAAGGTAATTGCCTTACCGACACGCGCTGTTGTCGCGCAGCCGACCTTCCGGCAGTTCACATGAATATTTTGAGCTCAAGAAATTAGTTACTTCAAAAAAACTTTTTAGAATATATTACTGGCGTACGTGGTGCTAATGAAATGCGACTTTCTGGCAACTGTGTTCTAGCCATACTGGTATAATACAAATGACTGTTATTTACATCATTACCAATACCGAGTATTTATTTGTTGTTTTTTTCAGCACCAGACTGCTGTAAATTTTATATCTTCCTTAAATATGATTAGAAAAATCCGGTGCTTTGTTGATTAATGAGGTTTTATGATCAAGCTGGTGTCGCTTGTGTTTGATCTTGAAGATTTAATTTTCATTTACTGAAAATCCATGAACGAAACTCGCGAACAACACGACATGTAACTTAATTTTATTATCATCATAATATAATTAATTCGGAAGAACCTTTCCACGTAAATCCTTTAAGAAGAGAGCCTTCCTTGCCGTTGCTTGCAGTAAAGCTCAGCTGATGTATGATATCCTCGTCAACTCATAACATTTAATGATGTACTTAGGACAGCATTGCTAGAGCCTTGTCATCATAAGGCAACACGATCACCTTAATAGTTATGCAGCTGCAAGACTTAATAGTTGTGAAGGCTGCAGGACTTAATAGTTAGGACTTAATAGTTATGAAGACCTGCAAGACTTAATAGTTGTGAAGACCTGCAAGACTTAATAGTTATGAAGACCTGCAAGACTTAATAGTTATGAAGACCTGCAAAACTTAATAGTTGTGAAGACCTGCAAGACTTAATAGTTATAAAGACCTGCAAGACTTAATAGTTATGATTTATGAAGACCTGCAAGACTTACTATTTATGCAGACCTGCAAGACTTGATAGTTATGAAGACCTGCAAGACAGACTGCGTGCGTGGTTCCTTGCGAGAGACTCAAACGCTGAATCGCCTAAGTTTTTGGATATTAAAAAAACATACAAATATTACATTATTTCTGATCAAATGTTCAAGCGACGAAAATTTTTCGAATAACCGAAATTCCCATGCAATACAACTTTTAATCAAAAAAGTCGTTTCAAACACAATGCAATTGCATTATCTTTCAATATTCATTAAAACCTAAAAATTCGCAATGCCAATTAAATTTTCATTTTGGATGAATTTAAAAATAATTAATCGTAAATCTATTTCCTAACTTGTTGGGAACTTTAATCAAATTAAACACTCTTTGACTATCAAACTTTTCTATATCATTCGTTAATAACATCGAGTTTCTCCACAAAGGCCAACTTTTCGATATATTTTTAGAACAAGCTCTGAGTGTACAACTTTGATGAACCGTGTCATCTCAATGGCCTGAACAATAGCCAACAAACTGTACTCTTCAGCTAAACTGTGTGAAATTAAAACAAAACAATTAAAACCTTCTACTCCAACTTGGCTGGCTGCTTGTAGCACCGAAGTTCTTGCAATGGTCGGCGTATTTTCCACTTAGAGAAATGAGTGTTACTTTGTCCAAATATCGATTTATTTTCTTGAATTTTAGTGATTTATCTTGAGACAGCTTGGCGCTGGAAATGGACATACTAGTGCTGCATGCAGTAAGTGTGTCACGATCTGGACTATATGCCCCATTGATTTATGTGAGTGTCTGCAGGCGATGGCTGGAAATGGACACACCATTGCTACGTGCAGGAAGTGTGTCACGATCTGGACGATATGAACCATTGATTTATGTGAGTGTCTGCAGGCGATGGCTACACAAGCGAGGCTAAGAACCTGGGGGCGTACGAGCGCTGCCTCTACAGCCTGGCTCACGACCCGCGCTGGCAGAAGGAGTCGCTGCTGGGGCGCCGTGTTGGTCTCTACAGGTTCAGGGGCGAGCTCGGACAAGGCAACTTCTCTACCGTCAGGCTCGCGTTTCATCAGCTCACTAGAGGTGGGTGCTGTTTTGTGCTGTTTTTTAGTTTTTTTCGGAAAACCAGTTTTTATGCAAAAATCTATGTCTTGCCCACTATTAAATTATCTGTTCCGTCTATCATATCTGTTAGTAGTGGTAATAAGTTCTCAATCTAAATTTTTTTTTTAATTTTCGATCAATTTGTGGACGATCACATTACCAGATCTAGATCTATAAATGTATATACGGGTAGTTGCCTTCACATGTTATAAGAGATTAACTATTCCGCACAGTAGTCTTAGTTCTTCCAAAGACTCTACCTAGTATACCTGTACGCTGGTCCAATTTGAGCTGAAATAGTTCACGTGAAGTCAAATATTTTTTAAACGGCCGAGATCGACCAAAAGTAGTAGAGCTTTCTTCAATCTAAAGTATCAGCGCACGTAAATGATTTTTTATTAGGCACCAATTAACTTGAATTAATGGCCTATGCTTGAAGGCGTAACACAGAATATAATTTATCCATCAAAAATATTAATCTGGCTAATGATGGCTGAACACCTGTTACCAACTGGCATCTCGATATTTTCCACCTTCCTGAAATTATTTTTTTACCTCACGAACACGTATCGAGAGTGGTTATCTACTGAACGGCTTGCAACGCAATTTACTTGATTAAATTGTGTAATTAAGACGTGTTCAAGTGATTAGTACTAGCGTTTATTATTTAGTTTTTAGTTGAAATTATGCATAACGGTGTTAAAACGCCTCGTAATAAAACCATTTAATATTTTTTATCGCCTTTGCGTGTAGTATTCATAAAGGACGGTCTACCCGAAACACTGTTTCAAATAGACAAGAGCTAATTGAGATTCCAGAGACCTCATTATTGCTGATATGTAGCAAATTTTGCATCACAAATGCTATAGGAAAGAGACAAAGCGATTGCTTCGTACCCTTAAATAGTGGTTCATAAAAGCTTACTAAGTCTTACTGACGATGAATGCATTGCTATGTGAAGGTTCGCTCCAGCTCCTATAGAAACGCCGAGCGACATGTTGTTGCCCATGACAACACCGTGTATATATAGAGTCTGGGATTATTTATTCTACGCTTCGAAAATCATAGAAGATAAATGCCCTAATATATTTCCTATAAACTTTAGCCCTAATATATTTCCTATAAACATTAGCCCTAATATATTTCCTATGAAGTACCCAGCAGATTTTTCTAGCCAATCGAAATACATTGGTACGGTGTACTTGTGAAATTTTCTTACATACAAGCATGCATCTCAGTTATGCTTGCTTAGAACATTGAGTCTTAATTAAATGGGTATAAAAAATTCTTAAGGAAATGCTGGCAATATTTAATGATTTATAATACTGAACGAGGTCGTGCATGATAGCAAGACCACGCCATCGATTCATCACCCAGCGTCATGGTAACATTGGATTATTGACTCACTAGGTTGACGCGCAATGCTTTTCATCACACCTTTGCCCCCCAAACTTAGCTACGGTATAGAATTGATCTTCTGAGGTGCAGGGAATTACTGCACAACTGAACTTTCTTTTCCTTCGAAGGCCTCTTTGTGTTGCTCGTACTATTTATACTCGTATTTTCAGTAGACACCCTTGAATATAAAAATTATAACTCTAAGCCTTTGAACTCTACCTTATCTCTACCTCTCGTGAGCGTTTTACTGTGACAAGCCCAATCACCAATGCATTTGTCAAGGCTTTTCAATACATTGGCAAGTCAGATGCATTTGTCGTTGACCAATACAATACGTAGACCAATACATTTTTAATGCTTTCCAGTGTTTTGGCAAGGTTTACTTTTAACAAGGCAAGTTCATTACCCATATTGATGCCGTGGTCTCGTTGACACACTCCTGTGTTGTTTTTCTCATCCGCGCCTTTACGTTGTATTGGCCGTTTTTGTTGCAATGCTCCTACATAGTTGATATTTAGGTTGGCGTATGGCGGCAGCTATGTAAAGGATTAATGGATTATATCATATCCTTGTATATTTTCTAGGACACTGACATGTTAATCAGATAATAGATCATTATATCTAAGGCTTCCTGATGGACTATAATCAAGTCGTCCACGGGGAATTAGATCTCTAACCCACATATACCTCAGTAAATGTCGGAAGTCCGATGACATGTTGATGTCGGAAGTTCGATGAAGTGAGGTTCATCATGAGACGGACGGACGCCTATACAGTGTATGCATTGTATCCTGTATTTGTGTTCATATACACAGAGCCAAAAGCCTAGCTACTGTTTGACAAAATACTCATTATAATGAGTATTTATAAATGATATAAATGATATAAATTGATTTACTGTTTATTTACCACAGACTAAAGGTTGTTTTGTTTCCTACCTCTTTGGACAAAGCCGTTCACGAAACGAAAACTCTTGGGTTCAGCGTTCAGCTGCTGAACGCAGTCTGTACTCTGGCCTGGCAATCGATGCTCGAACGAATATCCGATAATGGCTTCATTAATTTTATATTCGTATTGAGCATTCTATTGCTACGTCAATGCACATTCGGGCAAATTTCCGTATCCGTAGGTAGCAGGTAACAAAACATGCGTGTACCTAGAAGGCCTTTAATGTCTTGGCCATATTCATTACAATCGACATTCAGTTCAAATGCATCACGTTCACTTTTTCTAAGTAATTTGTCCATAAATTTAAAATTCGTGAAAAAGGTTTACCTTACCAGTTAATAAAACGTGAATAAATTATTGCAGATGAAGTTTTTCACGGATCGTAATAATAAAATGTTGCATTGCGTGGTCATCAATTGTCTAAACTTGCAAGTTAAACCCCATGAATAAAAAACATGAACTGTGAGCAGCCAAACAAGAAACTGAGCAATGAAAATTGAACCAGCCAAATCAAGATGAATAAAACACGAACATGAACAACGGAAACAGAATTTTGTAAAATGGTCATGAAGTTAAGACAAAATCTCAAAAATGAAACCAAAAGCGTGACCATTATCGTGTGGAAAAAATGCAGACCTTGTAAATTTTTCTTTAAGGTAAACTTAATTTAATATTAAACGTACAAGAATGCACAACAAACAATGGCAGCTATAATTTAATTCTATATTTTATTTCTGTGAGTAAATATCTTCACAATTGACACGCCTACGTCGCGTCCCTTGAGCCCTTGAGTAGCACGTCGTCAGGGGTCTGTAATCTTCCAGACCTTGAACTGAAGACCTCTCTGATCGAACGAGAAAATATTTACTTCTCTATATTAAAGTAAGAGGTCCCAATTCTTCGTTATTTTTGTTTATTTCTAGAAAATGCGTTGGCAATGTCTGCTTATTCTTTTCTTTCTTCTTGGAACTGCACTTTGGAACGGACAAAATAGCAGTCGTTCATATACAATTTGCGTCGCTTTATTGTAAACTTTTCTTGAATTTAAAATAATCCTCAAATAAGTCCTTAATTTGTTCGTGAAAAATTATAGCTTTTATTTCCACGATATTGTGTCAACCCATGAGGAACTGACTTTCTTCATAAGAAATATCAGAGGTTCAAGCCTTCAACTCTCAGTCTGCACTCAAATAATTAGACGAGTCATATTGTCCAAATAATGACTCACTCTTTACAAGCAGCACTGATATGAAGTTTTTTCAGGGCCAAACCCGGCCGTCAGAATGAACCACATATATATAAGGACAATAAGGGCATCAGTATTTAATTGGACAATGTCTCATTAATTCATCTGTATGTGCGGGACACTACATGCTATTAATAAGGCATCTATCTCAATAATTTATCTGTGTGTGCGGGACACTACAAGGCATCTATAAATCGCCTTCAGTTCACACTTACCTCGGCAATGGCTCTCGAGGTCTGACTTGATTTATGCATCTCTGGTGGATTGTGATTCTAAGAGAGTTATTTATGCTGGATATTGTGTTGTACATGTTGTTGTGACGTGTACAATGAACTTTTAAATAATGTACAAACAAAAGGTCTCAGGTGTGATCGAGAACCCCAAAAGTGAAAAAATAATTGAAAATGAATGTCGAAAACGAATATTGTAATTGATAACAAATAAAGCATAATAAGGAATTATGACCTGAATTATTTATCTAGATGAACTCTCTGTACAGTAACATTTGTATCGAAAAGTGAGTTTTCAAGCAAAATAGGAATTTAAATATGCTGGGTCCCCATATACTATAAATATTTGAAGACATATATCATGACAGACATCGTAGGTTCCTGATACGCGAAGACGTATATCATGACAGACATCGTAGGTTCCTGATACGCGAAGACGTATATCATGACAGACATCGTAGGTTCCTGATACGCGAAGACGAATATCATGACAGACATCGTAAACTCTAGCTACCTGCACGTATGTCAAACATCGTAAACTCTAGCTACCTGCACGTATGTCAAGACAGTCCTCATAGATTCTAATTACATAAAGACGTATAACATTACAGACGTCAAATAACACATCCGAAACAACCTCCACTCCATTCATTACAGAAGCCTGGCCTCAACTCTCAAGTGCTATTGCCTCACATTGCTGCTGAGGTGAAGTTCTAATTTACAGCTGTGACCTTGGCCTTTGCTTTGATAACCTGTCTTCTTATCATGTCCTGCGTGATAATCGTCTGCTCCAAAATGCTTCACTAGAACTCTCATCAAGCGTTGCCGTCTTCCGCATTTGCCCAGGCCTAAACTGCATTTCTTATCTAGTCATTTTTAACGGAATTTTGCTGCGTTGCGACAAGCAAGACTTGGTCGCAGGAATAAGTCACGAGATAAGGCCACACGGTCAGCCGTTGAAAACATATCAGGTCAATGAAGGCACACGCTGAAGTCAATACTTTAACCAGCACATCAGGGACAATCATGCCGCAACAGTCCCTTTTCACACATAACATGTTACGTTACAAACAGCTCTAAATTACTTCAATAATAATATAAATCGCATCAATAACACACCTAGTCAATTCAATCACCAGCGCACTCTTTTTCACATC